TTTCATATCGCTTAGATATAGATAGATAGATAGATAGATAGATAGATAGATAGATAGCGAGAGAGAGAGAGAGAGAGAGATTATTTAAAATTTATTTTGTTTTCTTCCCTTTCAAGTAACAATCTAACAGAACTTCCTTCCTGGCTGGCAGAATGTTTCTTTATGGCCAAACTGGATGTCAGCCATAATCAACTCACTCAACTACCTAGTCTGTAAGTAATTTTTTTTTAATTTATTTTTTACGTTATTGTTCACGCAATATAAGGCTCAAGAGCCACTCAATGTAGAGGGTTAATGAATGATGTAATTTCAGGCATGTCGGAATTGAACTACTTTTTCTGTGTCATTAATATGTTCATTTGTATATTATGTAAAGAAGAGTTACCTGAGGCTTCTTTTAATGTATGCATCAGTGTTATTCTTAATCATTTACAATCACTGAAATAATTTTGACTAAATGCACAACTTTATACTTGGAAAAAATTTTTTATTTTATTGCTAAAATGTTTTTATTATCTTACATATCCATAAGTCTACCATTCGTATTTATTTTTTTATACCTTCATAATCTTTTGCTCCCAGAGATTCTTGATAAAATCCAAAGATGAATCTGCAATGTTATTGGTCATAACTTGGCATCTCAGCTTCAGTCATTTCCCCACCACCTTTCCTATAAATACTTTCATGTTAATTGTTCCGATGAACTTTCCTCTATGGTACCTAGACATTATGAATACTAGATTGGCAGATAGGTCTCAGCATTTTACAGTTTTCGCACATTTCGCAGTTGTGGAACTATCTTTCGACCTGTTGCTTCCAAGTCAACTTTGATCTTCAAGATTTTAAATGATATGTCAATCGTTATATACTGTCTTCTTAATTCCTGTTTTTGTATTGTTCTCTCTCCTTAATAGTTTTTACTTATATTCTCTAACACCCAGTAACTACTTGCGTCTTAGTGGCTTTATTGTCTTGCTTGGGGTAAAATTATTATAACAAAAAAATGTTTTGTTATTCATTTTTAATGTAATATTTATAAATAAGCCATTGTTTTGGTGATCGTTTTTTTATGATTAAATTGCACAATTATTCAAATAGTTATTTTTTCCATTCAATTCATTCTTGCTTAAATGTATAAATGTAGATATAAGCAAGAATGGTCTCGGCCTATACGATTCCGAATGAAGAATTTTTTTTCCTTAGCTTATACCTCCTCCCCTTCTTAACTTTCGGTGCCGTAGCATGATAATAATAGTGCTATGTAATTTGAAGAATACTTGTTACCCAACCACCTGAAAACATCTAGCAGTCAAAACCACGGTAGTTTGAAGTAATATTCGGTGTTTTTTCATCTTTTATTGTACTGGCTTACTTTGTTTTTTTGTTTTTTTTTGTTTTTTTTTGTTTGTTTTTTTGAAGGCGGCTAAATTGTGCATTTTGTTATACGTTCATTTTTTGCTGTAGTAGTTTCTCCGGCGTTTTATCTTATTTTGTGTTTATATATATATATATATATATATATATATAATTATTTATTTAAAATATGATTCCAAATCGCTACATAAGAGGTCTCATGTTTCAAAACAAGAGCCGAAAACTTCAATATAATCCTTTAAATTAAATTGAGTTGAAATTAAAATGGGCTCCGTTCCATCTTCAAGCGAAATTTTTGTTGGAATAACGTATATCTGAAATTTACTTGTTTTAAAAATTGAAATCAAAATCCCCATGGTAACAGCTAGGGCGAATTGTCTAAATTGGGTAGGCGAGTGTGGGGTGTTAATGATAAGTAGCGGTATAGAGATACTTTCAAGATGTCAAGTCGGGGAAAGGTGGGGGTGTCTAAAATGAAACGGAAGATAACCTTCATCAAGTTTGCTTGTCTACGGATATTTATTTATTTATTTTATTTTATTTTATTATGAAAGGGAATTGTGCATATAAAAAAAGAAAAACTTTCGTAACGTTTGTTTTTTGACGACTTCATAAAGGGTTATCTTTTATGTAAGGTATTTAAACTACTAATTTGGGCTATGGATTATGAAGGGTGTTATGTTGTATGCATGTTTGTAGTTAATTAATCCTACTATGAATCTGATGATTAGGCTATTTGTTAAACAAGTTATATAAATTTTTTTTTTTTATCTAATAATTCAAACCAAAAATCTGATGATGCCTACAAAAAACCGTTAACTCGTGTCTATTATTTAATAGATTATTATTATTTAGAAGTTTAATAATGTGCAATTTTTTCATGGAGGCACAAAGGGCATGGGTCATCCCAAGCTTTTACATATTCTAGCCTTGTCAATAATTTTTCATATATATATATATATGTGTGTGTGTGTGTGTGTGTGTGTGTGTGTGTATATATATATATATATATACATATATATATGTATATATATATATATGTATATATATATATGTATGTATTATATATATATATATATATATATATATATATATATATATATATATATATATATATATATATATATAATTATTTTTATATATAGATACAAATATTTTTTTAAATGTTCTGTTTATAATAAACAATATTAAATAACATTTCATGGCCTGAATGTATAATGAGAAATTTTCACAGAAAATATTCGTCCTCCGGTAAATGTTATTTAATACTGTTTATTATAAACAGAAATTTAAAAATATTTGTATCTAAAAAAAATATTAAACATAAAAATGTCTTAAAAATAATTGGCGGACTTTGTCCATTTCATAATATATATATTAATTTCATTAATATATATATATATATATATATATATAAGTTGTCCCAAAATAATGTATACACTGTTTGAATCGTTATAACTTATTCAGTCTATGTATTTTGACTTGTAAATAAGATTAATATAAGAGAAAGGATACACATTTAAAGAATTTGAGAGTAAAATATACAAAAACATAGAAAATTAACATTAATAAGATAGAAGCTACTTGAGGCAATGGCCGAATGTTCATATAATGATGAGTTCACATCAAGTGCCGTTCTGTTCAATAAACTTTTCATATCTTGAAGAAATAGACCTACAAACGTCCAGTATCATTTCCTCTGGTATTTGAGCACATTATTCTTCAATTTCAGCAATTGATTCAGGTTTCCTGCTGTAAACATTATCTTTTAGAACCCCCCACACACACACACACACACAAAACGAAATCCCAGGGTGTCAAACCTGGTGATCTAGGTGGGTATTAAATTGTCCCTCTTCTTCTAATCCATCTGTTTTGCATATTTTCATCCATATAAGTTCTTACATCACGGTAATGTATTATTTAACTATTAATATTTAAAGAGTGTATACAGTATTTTGGGACACCCTGTATATATATATATATATATATATATATATATATATATATATATATATACACGTTCGAAGTGTGGTTTTGCCTTTTCGTTGTTCTTCCAAGACATCAGACACGAATTATTACTTTTTAAAAAGTAATACTTCCTCCTTAATAAGTTGGAAGAAAACGGAAGTCGCACTTCAAATGTAGGTATATGTATATTTATTAATATATACTTCTTAGCTCTGTCTAACTGCTTTGAACACTGTTTTGTTTTAGATTAATTAAATATTTATTCGCTTACCCGTGTATGCACGCTAACGTACTTATATACGGTTGCTAATATCTAGTTATTTGATTTATCAACATTAATATCTAATATATATATATATATATATATATATATATATATACAGTGTAACCCGGATATAAGAGAGTTGTCGGGACCGGAGAAGAAGTCTCTTATATCCGGGTTTCTCTTATATCCGGGTTTGGTCTATATGTATACATTAACACAGACTCTAATTTGGGACCAGAGAAAATCTCTCTTATATCCGGGTTTCTCTTATATCCGGGTCAGAATGGAAAGGGTATATTTATATATATATATATATATATATATATATATATATATATGAAGATTCGATTGCCAGCCGTTTTTAAGAAACTTCCATAAAAGAAGGATTGCTGCCCAAACACACACGCACCCCCCCCACTTACACACATATATATATATATAATTTGTTTGTGTGTGTGTGTGTGTGTGTTATTCTCTAGATCTGTATACCATTGTCTTTTGGGTACATTTTCGTCATTTTCTTGTTTCCAATAACTCTTTGATATTAATGTCCTTTGTTTAAGCATGTCTATATTTACCGTTTCTAAGAACTATTTTCTGTCGCTATTGTCGTGACTAATTCGTTAATAAAATATGTGAGTTCCTTTTTATAAAGAGCCACCCACATACATATGTGTGTGTGTGTGCCTTTGTGTGTATGTATGTAACAGTTCAGATATAAATAAAATCTATCTGAAAAGACAATGAAAGACAAAAGGCTTTTCTTTACCAACATATCAATATAATACGTACATTATTAGGCTATTGAAGTAGACGGAAACATGGAGTGCTCTAAAATCTCTCGATAGACAACTGCATTGACTCTGAACTTTATAAAAAAGGTTAATCATCTTGCCTCAATCTAGGTATTCCCGTCACAAAAACGCAAGCAGTTACTGAATGTGAGAGAATATGAAAAAAAAATTATTAACGACTGAAGACAATAAAAGAAAAGTATTTAGGAAGATAACGATTGACATTGTATTTAAATTTTTGAACATCAAAGGCAATAAAGCCACTAGGATGCAAGGGGTTACTAAGTGTTAGAGAATATGAGAAAAACTACTATTAAGGAGAGAGAACAATAAAAGAACAAGAATTAAGAAGATAGAAGATAACGATTGACATTGCATTTAAATTTTTGAAGATCAAAGTTGATTAGAAAGCAAGAAGCCGGAAGAGAGTTCAACATGCGAAAAGAGCGATAGAAGAAACTATTAGCATAGAACTTACGGTAAAATGATGAGACCTTGCCGCCAATCTAGTACTGGGCTTAAATTCATAAAGTCTAGGTACCATAAATAGAATTCATCAGAACAATTATCATGAAAGTATTTATAGAAAAGCCACAGGAATGCTACATTACGGGGATGTGCCTGACGCCGAGATGCCAGGTCAGGACAAATAATATTGCAGATACTTCTTTGGATTTTATTAAGAATTTCTAATATATCGCAGGAGTACCAGATACCAATATTCAAAACATGGAAGAATAGTAGACTTATAAAATGCGAAAGAAGAAACTGTTAACATAGAACTTGCGGTTCCATCTAGCCATTTCAATTGTAAAATGATGAGACCTTACCGCCAATCTAGTATTGCTCTTAAATTCATAATGTTTTGGTACAATAGGGGAGAATTCATTAGAAAATTTACCATAAAAGTATGTATAGAAAAGGCACAACGATGAGACGTTGCCGCCAATCTTTTATAAAATACATTGGATCAACACCGTATAACTGGCCACTTGTATTCGAGGATGTAGGCAGCTAGCCATTCCCTATTACAGACGCTTGCTCAGGCGCATTTGTGTTTATTCAACACCCACAAAGCACACCTGTGTTTTATACTGCAACTATTTACAGTTTCTGGGGAAGAGCGTGTTATCTAGCGTGATCAACAATTTGAACAAGGCCAGTACGCTCAAGCCCTCGGCCACGATGACTTGCGACTTCATGCTAGTCCAGCTATCGACGGTTCTCAAGGGTTCCGTCTACCTAATTTCACTTGGGTCACGTGGTATGGTTTTCCGGCACTTTCCAAGGGTGCCACACGCTGGGATCCAGTCCGATAGCATTTGGAAGTTTCTTTCCTGAAAAATCAACCATGAGTGAGATTCGAACCCGGGTCTCATGGTCAGAATGAGAACGTTCTAACCACTCGGCCACTTATAAACCAATACGCAGTTTTTTTTTTTTAAAGCGAGGCGATTTTTTGGCAATCGAAATTCATAGACATATGAAAAATTTTGGCCATTCGTCTTTGAATATTGTTGCCATATATGTTTGAAGTGAAATGAAAAAAAAAAAAAAAAAAAAGAAAGAAAAATGCCCGGAAGTTCTTTGAGCCGTAAAAACGCGAAGCCGATTGGCATTCAAAAGACACGGTACAAATAGTGGGGAATGAGAAATTCACTTCCAATTTCATACAGCGAGACTTCTCGTTGTTCTTAGAAATGAAAGTAGCACTGAAAGATCAACATTTTCCATCCGACGTCCGAAGTTTACGTTGGTGAATGCAATTAGAACAAAAATCAATCAGGAACTTCCTTAATCGTATGAAAAAAAAAAAAAAAAGATTTGCATTAATTAATGTCGACGTTGAAAAGTTAAAATATTTGGCAATATTAAGAAAAGAAAACAAATGTACAATATTTTGATTTAAGTTTTATGGTTCTATGTTGTTTCAAACTTGTTTGGAGACCTTACTTATCGATCAAATATAAGAATTTTGAAGAAAAAATTTTTTTTCCGCTTTAATACCCGTTTAATCATTTGATTTAGAATTGAACTTGTTTTATCGGATTGGAGATCTTACTTATCAATCAACCCTCGTAATTTAATTATTTGATATATAAACATTTGTGATCCATACATCAGAAATAAATCCTTAAGTAAATCATCCATGTGATTTTTGCAATAAAATTTTAATATTCGGTTTATTTTTTGAATTTTGCAGGATTTTCACTACGTCCAAAAAGCTGCAGGAATTACGGGCGAACCACAATCTTCTGAAGGAGTTGCCAAATTCAGTCGGCAACGTCGTCCTGGAAATATTACAACTACAACATAATAACCTTTGTAGTCTTCCACCCACGTTCTTGTCGAATGCAAACAAGTATAAATTTCCTCTCTCTCTCTAAAAAAAAATCAATCTCTCTCTCTATCTATCTATCTACTATTTACTACTAGTAGTACTATGTTCTATCTATCTAAAATCTATAAATAAATTGAAAATTTATTTATCTATCATTCAAAATCTCTATATCTGACAAATTTTTCTCTTAAAATATATCTATCTATCTAATGGTAAAGCATTGATAGCTTTTCTACAAAAATCTATCTATCTATCTATCTATCTATCTATCTATCTATCTTTCTATCTCTTTTCTATCAACATTTTTAAAAAATAAAACTTATCATTATCTCAGATATATCTATCTTTGGTGTTTTCTTTTGATCATTCCCTACTATATATCTATCTAATGAAAAAAATATCTATCTATATCTGTCTATCTATGTCTATCTCTCATTTAAAAGAAAATCTCTCTCTATCTATCTATCTATCTATCTATCTATCATTATCTCTCTATATCTATCTCTATATATCTATTTCTTCCTCTCTCTCTATCTATCTATCATTATCTCTCTAAATCTATCTTTCTCTCTATCTATCTATCTATCTATCGATCTATCTATATCTGTCTATCTTTCTCTCTTTCTCTCTCTCTCTCTCTATCATTATCTCTTTATATCTATCTACCTTTCTCTTTCTCTCTCTCTTACTATCTATCTTTCGATTTATCTATATCCGTCTATCTATCTTTCTTTTTATTTTTTAGTTATCTCTAATAAAAAAAAAAAGATATATATATATATATATATATATATATATATATATATATATATATATAAAATATATATATATATACAGGAATTTAAAGCTACTTCATGGTGATGATCATTTCACCTTACTAAATTAACAAGGGTTTTCAAATTTTTTAGGTAAATGATAAGATAAAATAAAATGAAATCTTAAATCATATCATAAAACAAGGCAGTGGAAAAAGAAAGAAAAATAGAAAAAAGAACAAAGGAAAGAATAAAGAGAATAGTGAAAAAACAAGAAAAAGGTCTCTTTTACATAGAAAGGTTTAAAAAAACCTTGCAAATTTAGTAAGGTGAAATGATCATTATTGCAATCGTTGAAAAATAGCGAAAAACTCTATTGTTTCTCCAACCCCTTCTAGGTGAGGTTTAGAACTTTTTTGAACGAACCTCGTATCTCACCATATTGCTTGTGTCTTTTTTCACAAAATAAAAATTCATATAATTCCCTGCTCGATTTTGTTTGATAGACGATATTTGAATTTATACTAAGTTAAAACTTAATCGATAATCTCATACTATCAGTTCGATAACTCTACCCTAAAGCTTATATTCGGAGCTAATCCCCGTGTTTAACCTCTGAAATTTTATTCACTAATTATTTATTTTATTCTATTTTTATCTATTTTTTTCTCACTCCCAACAATAGTAGATTCACCTATTGTCAGCCCACACTCTTTACAGGTCTTTTGAACAGGAGAAGAAGTTTATCCCTTGTTTCCTGTTTAGGATTTGGTTTCCGGTTACTTCTACAGTCTGCTTCAGCTATATACTCCTAGCTCCTTCGCTAATATAACTCCACGCAGTAACCCTCTACCTTGATTGCCTCTTAGGCCTTCTATTGGAACTAGTAAAGAAAAAATGCCTGGAACACTACAATATAAACCTCTTCAAGTCTAAGGGCAATCATTATCTATCCTCCTTATCCTCATAATCTTTACTTTCTGTCATTGCCTCTTCCCTCCATATCACCCCCCATTCATCATACCACTTTTAGCAATAATAAGAGTAGATAGATTCACCTGTCGTCTGGTTCATGTTCCTCCCTAGCCTTTTGAACAAGAATAGAGGTTTATCCGTTGTTTCCAACTTAGGATTGGGTTTTCGGACCCTTCCAAAAATCTTTCAGTACTCTTTTACACCCAGTATTCCATTGCGTCTTAGTGGCATTATCGCCTTACTTGGGGTGAAATGATTAAAAAAATGACCTCTGTTGAATACTTGTCAAGCTTGGTATTGTGTGAAATTAAGTATTAAAAAAATTTCTAATTATTATATTAATACGTAGTAATTAACAGAAGTTAAGCAACGTCGAGCCTGACCAGTACCTAAATGGGTGACCGCTTGGGAATACTAGGTGCTGTAAGCTTCGATGTGCGGATGGTGTAATGAATAAAAGAGAAATCGGAGAGCCAAGTTCGAATTCCAGTCGCGTTCGTTATATTCATTTATGTGAAGATACACTCGGGAAACGCATGAATCTACAAATTCTCCCCATCTATGGATTAATTAGTAAAACTTGTATCACTAAACCATTATTATCTTAAAAAAAATTATTTCAATATAAAAATATCATCTGACTTTAAATAACCTGCAAGGTGTTGATAAAACGTAAAAAATCAATCAATCAACCTGCCAAAAAATGACATCAAACATTGTTTTTAATTTATTGTCATAGGTCAATCGTTATATATCCTCCTCATCCTCATTTTTCATTCATGTCACACTCCTCATTCAGCGTTACAATTGTAACAGTAACCTTCAACCGGTCGTATCACGTTGAAACACCGGTTGCTGTACGATCACTGAAGTTAAGCAACACTGAGCCAGGTCATTACCTAAACCAGTGGTTCCGAATTTTTTTTTGAATTTTTTTTTTCTCTGCGCCGCATATTCGAAATGAAAACCAAAGTCCCGGTGAAAAGACGCAAGTAGCCCTAAGGTATAGAAATCTCAAAGATAGTGGGAGTTAAAGGGAGATAACCACGGATTCAAAGTAAGAACATTATCAATGATAAGTCTCTCCTCTAATATTTAGACCCCAGTTACTATATTCTTTATACTTGACATAACACAAAAATATTCCATTGATAAAATCGGTCAATAATTATTTATAACTACTTATACTGGGACTCATGCATGCAATTACAAATAATCCATAATAATATTTTAAATTTTGAAATCATATTTATTTTTGGTATATATTTTTAAACTGTTTCTAAATCTTTGATTGTCTTTCAATCATTCCGCCTCACCTGCTATCTTCTTCCGTCGCACCTATGAAGCGCGCCGCATCGTTTGGGGACAGGTAACCTAGACAGTTTACCGCTTGGGAATACCAGGTGCTGTAAGCGTGGATGTGCAGGTGGTGCAATGGATAAGAGGTCGGAATTGAAAATGTAGAGCCAAGTTTCCATTCTAATCGGATTCCTTATACTCACTCCCGTGAAAATACCCTTAGGAAAGGTAGGAATCCACCTCTTCTCCCCACAGCTATGGGTTAATTAGTAGGAACTTTATCAATAAATCATTGTCTTCAAAAAGGTCTTACAACCTAAAAATATTTTCTGGTTTTAAATAACCTGCGAAAGGTTGATAAGTCGTAAAAATCAAATCAATCTATCTTGAGTGGCGCTTGAGCCTTTTATTGACTTTCTTACCGAGACGAACGTTGTTTGTATTTACAGATTGAAGTGCCTGAATCTGACAAAAAATTTCCTCCGTTTTCTTCCGCAACCCAATGCAAATGACTCTCTAAATAAACTGCAAGAACTCTATTTGACGGCGAATAAACTCCAAGACAATGTCTTCCAGGTAATCAGCTGCTTTCCCCGTCTGAAAAAGCTCCATTTGGCCGAAAATATTATCGAGGAAATACCAGAAAGGTAAGTTAAAATAAAGATGATATTTTTTATTGCAACTGCAGAGGGATTATAAATTCTTGGCGATAATTCTTCTTCTTAGATTTCGAAAGGGTCTATTCAACCCTATAATAGGACAGGTTGATTTTGAAACCATGGTATTGCACACGATTTGAACGTTGCTAATAAATAAGAACACAAAGTATTTCTTTCAAAATCTTTACTGTTTTTTGAGGAAACGAGTTCAAAATTAATGCAGTGCAATAGTTTTAGTGCGATTTTTAATAAACAATTCATTTTGTCTTATAATTTGTGGCCAGCAGTATTATGGTGTTATATACACTTTTATCTGTTTTTTGTTTTTATTAATTATGATCTAGCAAATCTTATTCATTGAGTAGCCATTTTTGTAATCTTTTACATTTTTTACACAATTTTTTTACTTATCGAATACTGTAAAATTGCATATTTTGCTTGTGGTAATTCATAATTAGAATTCTGGTTTGGATATATTTTCCATTCAATTTATCTAATACAAAATATATAAACTTTATTGGGATTTATTCTTGAAATAGTAAAATTTTAAAGTCAGTTTCTAAGTCAAAACCTGCGGAAATCAGATATTTCTGTACATTTTTTCAGTTTAAAATTCCGACGAGTTTTCCAAGTACGACAGAAATCTGAATAAAATCCCATTTCTGATATCATTACAGACAGAAGATGAAACGCTGTATATACATTTTGGAAAAGTGACAGCCTACATGTGTATGTTGGTATGCGCATGCTCAGAAAAGATAATAAGTACGTTGCAAAATGGATGCCATATTATGCATTTTTTTTACCCTTCCTTTTTATTGCAGCTGCATCGCCAAACTGGAAGCTCTGCAAGAACTTAACATCTCATCCAACTGCTTGACGCACCTCCCTCCAAGTCTGTGTAACCATCCGAAACTGCAAGTTCTCCGGGCAAACTCAAACATGATCTACAACCTCCCAGATTTTAAAGGGGCTCCGGAGCTAAAGGTAAGAGAAGCTTCTAAGTTCATCTACACGAACGGACACAGTCATATGGGAGGTAGTATAACATGAGGGCCATGGATGCATCTAATTCCAATAACGGAAATAATAGTCTTTAAGAATCAATGTAGTCTTTATATATATACTAGAAGCAGTTTATATTAAAAGTTAAAGCCGGCACTGAACAGAATCAACTAGGAATACTACAGTAATGTTCTGAAATGTCTATAAAGGAAGTTTTTCACGTTTTAATGCGCGCCTGACCATGACATTATAACGTGAAAAAAAATTCTATAATGGATAATTTTTTCCCATTCTAATGAATTCACGCGGGTCATTTAAAAAATAGTTCGCACAGCGGATTGGCTGTTACAAACATCAAATCAGATGTGCGGAATATGTGGTCTCTCTTCGTCTAATTCTTTTTAAAAAAGGCCATAGTAGCTGTTAGCGTTTAACTGTGAGGGAGAATCAGGGATTAATCTCCCCTGATTGGGTCGATTTGGTGATGGCGAGTATGATGTTGAAAGACCCGAAACTCCCTGATGAACCAAGTCAAAAACATCACTGACGACCCCCTTGGGCGCCTACTTAAGCGCGGAATTTTAATTATGAACGCTCAGCACATTGTCAACCGTTTTGCATTTAAAAGCATAATGAAAAAATTACATAAATGAATAACAACGCACAACTTTGTATAAATACTTGCATTAATGAACAACATATAGTTTTGTACTACTTGCACCCCTGAAGATGATCTTGAAAGAAGATCGAAAGTACTTGGAAAATGAAAATAAAAGAAATTTAAGCAGCTATAGCACATTTCTATCATCCTTTAATATCAATACACGGAAGGTTATTCGTGAGTATGAACGGATTTTGTTAAAAATTAGCAGACATAATGTCTGTAATTTATTCAATCAAATATGCCTAAAAGAAAAATTTGCTGCCTAAATAAATACACACACACATAGACACAGACATACACACATGCACACACATATTTTTAAAGAATCAATGCTTCTTATTTATTCATTTATCAAGTAATTACTATACGAGTTGGTATTAAAAAAATTCCAGGGCTAGTTATGTTTAAAAAAAAACTAATATATTTACGTAATTTTTAACATCACCTCCTTCGAAATCGTTATCTTGCGCAGCAATAAACCGGTCCTACTATGACGTGGCAATCCCGTCCTCGGTCACAGGGCGAGTCCGTGGTCGATCCTTCCAACCTTGGAAATATAACTACAATGACATTCCTGTTTTCCAAGTCCTATCAACTGACCGAATTTTGGCAAGAGATTCGTTCTTAGCCGTCGTGGATACTTGAAGTCGTTAAAATGAAATCTATTCTACCACGCTGGTCAAGTGGGCAGTTAAGAAAAATACCATCACTTAAGATTAAGTTGACCATGTACAGATGGCTTCTACGCTAGTTGTTGTCGTCACCCGGACACTGAGGTGGGGAGAGAAAAGAAAAAAAACTTCTCCCCCTTTCCTTTTTCTTGTTATCAGTATATTTTCAGTCTATCGAAAAACATCGTTTTTCTTTCTTGTTTTCCAGTTTATTTTGAAAGCCTTTTTTTTTCCAATTTACCAGCGACTTCTTAATAATGTCCCACCAGGGTTCCTGCGACTTTTTGGAATCCGGCCTGGAAGTCGTTTTCCGTAAGCGCATCAAGGATCTTCTGTGATTCGTTTTGGATCTCGGCAACAGTGTTAAAATCGCGACCTTTCAGCTGCATTTTCAGTTTAGAGAAGAGATGGAAGTCCGCGGGTGACAAATCTGTTGTTTTTTGGCTAGAAACTCATGAGTTAGAAGAACTCGGTGACAGGGTGACATTGTCGTCTTGAAGCATCCAATACTCCGCGCTCCACTTGACCCAGTCGCTCTTGCCGAACGTCCTCCATCAAAGGCCTCAAAACCTTACAGTAGAACAATCGACTGACGGTCTGACCCTGGGGGACAATTTCTCGATATACAATACCATGGATGTCGGAAAAAAAAACGATGACAATGCTCTTGCATGACAAAATCGCAGACTACAGCATACACGTGATCACAGAAACATAAATTTCACAACTTGTGAAGTGAACACAACGATGTCACTCGGTACACTGGCACATGAAGGTCACTGCTAGCTATATCATTGCGCGCGCAACTATGTGTTGCCATCTGCTAGCGCCCTACAGAACACGTAAAATATTTAGTACCATTTCGTATTTCTTCAAAACGTACGTTGTCATAGCTTTCCACAGAAACTTTTAATATCTTTGAAGATTAATTCTTGAGAAAGATGGTGGATTGATGTCCTCTTTCCTTTCGTGCGGTTTCGATTTCAGAGTTAGGCTGGCGGCCACTCGAAGATATCAAACTCCATCTGCCTTGGTAATTAACCAATAGCTTCGTGTGGTTGATTTTTTTCTTGACATGTTAACCTTTGTTGGGTTATTTAAAAACAAATAGGAATTCTTTATAAGTATAACATGTTTCGCTTTTATTAACTATCATCAAAGAATGAAATATGGTGGAGTAAAAGAAAATTCTGGGATTTTGAATTTTTGTGTTGTTTGTTTTCATTGGTTAATCATACCTCACGTAGGGCTGGTTGATTTTTAAATTGTTTTTCAGAAAATCAACATTGCACTCGATGTGAAAGCTGGGGTTTGATGGGATAAGTTAAATTCATAGATTTTACCAATTTTTGAGCATTTACTTTGAAAAATCGTTTGAACATGTATAAAAATATACAGAAATTAAAAATCGTTTGAACATGTGTAGAAATATACAGAAATTAAAAATCGTTTGAACATGTGTAGAAATATACAGAAATTAAAAATCGTTTGAACATGTATAGAAATCCCTAATATCCGCAGGTTTTACTTACAAACTGACATCAAAATTTTACTATTTCAAGGATGAATCCAAATGAATTTGATATATTTTGCATTGGATCCATTGAATGGAAAATATATTCAAACCAGAATTCTAATTATGAATCACCACTTGTAAAATATTCACTTTTTTACACGATTCGATAAGTAAAAACTGTAAAAAAATTGTAAAAATTACCAAAAAGTCGACTCAATGAATAAGATTTATGAGATCATTTGTTAGGTCGTAATTAATAAAAGCAAAACATAGATAAAAGTGTATATAACATCATAATACTACTGGACACAAATTATATACGAAAATGTTTTAAATTTGTATTGTTTATTGAAAATCATACTAAAACTATTGTACTTTTTGACATATTACATCATAATATAGTTAAATTGTTCAATTGAATTTCCCTTTGAAGTAAACGAAGGTCTTATTTGATGGTACAATGATTTAGTAATGATGTGCTTGTGTCATGCATCTTGTCCATATAAAATTTGTAAAACTTCAGGAAATTATAAATTTTATAAGGCCGTGCTATAAGGCTTTCACTGATCACAATTAAATTCCAACGCTACGAATTTGAAGCTAAACTTAATCTTTAAACTCATTTCCTTAAAAAAAACGTTAAAAATTTGGAAAAAATATTTTGTCATTATTTATCATGTGAAACCGCAACTTTCAAATTGAGTACAAAATACCGCGGTTTCAAAATCAAACTGCCCTAGTGTATTAGTCTTTTCAAGCTCGTGTGTATAATGTGTATCATGTGTACGTGTATCATAATTCTAGTTTGTCTATTCGAGATTATCATGTATATTTGAAGTGGGGGGAATTTTTATCCATGTTTGTTAGTTTCCCTGACAAGACTGATGCACGTGAGGTCTGTTTAATCAATGAGACAACACAAAAATTAAAGATACCAAAATTTTTTTCTTTCCCTGATGAAGCTTTAATAAAAGCGAAACATGTTAGATTTATTCCCGGTTCTATAACCAGGACATGTCTACAGTGAACTTGAAACTCAACGGACTTTCAAAGCATGTAGCCTTATTGAGAGTAGAACCTTACATAGTGATAGGACAAAAGTTGATGATAAAACCAACAACTTAAATGAAAAACACCAAGACCTGATGTTAAATATATAAATTTCAAAGGTTAATTGCACTTAAGCCTAACATCCACACTTTCTGCTTACAAAAGGATGGCTGACAGGACTTAATATAAATTAACTCTAAAACAACGTGAAAATCAGTGTTGGTCTTCCTTATTACCGATGGCGCGTCTTGTTTGTATGAACGAGAATATTATTGGTTGTTTAATAAATTTTCAATTGTCGTCGAGCTAATATCGGGATGAGCACTTTAGACAATTTACATCGGTGCGTTAATACATCTGGTTGTGCGATTGCTGAGTATTTATTAAATAATTATTAATACGCTCGGTTTTATAACCAAGACATGTCTACAAGGAATGTGAAACTCAGTAGACATTGAAAACATGTAGCCTTAATGAAAAATAGAACCTTACATAGTGGGAGGACAAAAATCAGGGTCTGAACGTTGATAATAAAATCATACTAGCTTGGTTTCTGTAAAGTTCTGAACTAATGAAACGAAATAGCGATAGAGTAGCGAAACACTACATCTGCGGGTACAGGGTTGCAAGATAGAAATAAGTTACCCCCACAAGGCCGTTATAAACGACTTTGAACACTGTCAAGCCTAGAAAGCGAGAGTTGAGCAGATCCAATCCAAATATGGCAGCAACATTGGAAGCCATTTTGTTTGTTAGTAATTAGAAAGAAAAAAACATACGAAAACAGCAAAAGCTTACTTTGGTAACTGAAAAATTAATCTATATGAATAAAACATTTTGCCAAAACATTTAGAAAGTGTTACATCAACTTAATAGTAGATGGGAAAAAAAGTTTGTAGGGTTTTTTAAATGAATTTCAAATACAATTAACTATTTATACATAGATACCGTATATTTCCGTGTATAAGACAACTTTTAAATCCCCCCCTTAAAATTAGGGATTGTCTTATACTATAATCCTAAAAAAGCAACCTTAAATTCTGAGTAATGTTTTTGGTAGGCTAACCTCGGTCTCGGTGAGATAACCAATAACGTACATGAAAAAGTCACATTATCAAATAACCTGATAATAAAAGTATTAAAACCATTTCTTCCTTATATATTACTGGCATAACTTCATAATAAATTGTCTATTCGAAGAATAATTCCATATCAATGAAATCAACTTGTATCCATGCAAGCTCAGCTGAGAAAATGCAAACATTGAATTATGATTGCAATTCACTGCAACCTTTATCTTTTGCTAGAATTTCAATAATGAATAAAAGATTGAAAAAAAATGTTGAAAGTGGAATTTAGTACTATCGTATCTTATTGGACTATTATTAGCAGTATTTTGTGATTGTCGATGAAGTATAAGTAAATGGCCATTAGTAAACCAGGTTGTTTGTAACTGTTTAGATAAAGAAAAAAAGGGAGTATTCGTAATGAAACGTAAACAAAACAAAGATTTCCTTTTTAGGGGACATGTGTTGAAAAAAAATGATATAGAATCGGTTTTGTTATTTTGTTTATTTTGAATTTCCAAGGATACAGTAAGTAACAACATTTCCAATAACATTATCTTTATATAATCAATAAATCAATAAATTAATTAAAATTTGCTATATTTTTTACTTCGTCTTATCTAAAGGTCGCCTTATACGCGGGAATATACGGTAATTATTTCAACTACATAGGTGCCCTTATATTCCACTATGAACGAGAATATCGTTGATTTAATAAATGCTCAACTGGCGTCGAACCAATATTCAGAAGAGCACTTTGGACAATTTGCATAGGTGTGCTAATACATCTGGGTGTGCAATAGCTGAGCATTTGTTAAATGACAATCCATATGCATGGTTCTGTAAACTTCTATAAAGTTCTGACCTGGTGGACGAAAGTTGGGAGTTCATCTGAACGTTTAGCATAGGAAAAGCGATAGAGTAACGACAGTCTTGCAACATTATATCTGTAGGAAAAGAGGCCGTTGGGTGGGAAACATTAGACTCTATGGATGTGGAATGGTGAGTCCTTGCTGTAATGGTCTGAACTGGTGGAACTAAAAAATGGAGCTCATCTTGAACATTTGCCATGAAAATAGTGATAGGGTACAGATAGGCTTGAGACATTGTCTGTAGGAAAAGAAGCCGTAAGGTGGAAAACATTAGACTCTATGGATGTAATGTGTCCAAGGTCTGAAGTGGTGGAATTAAAGAATGGAGCTCATCTGAACATTTGCCATGGAAATAGCGATAGATTAGTAACAGGCTTGCAACAGTGTGTCTATAAGAAAAGAGGCTTTAGGACAGAAATCATTAGACTCTATGGATGTGGAATGGTGACTCCTAGATGTAAAGGTCTGAACTGGTGGAACTAAAGGATGGAGCTCATCTGAACATTTGCCATGGAAATAGTGATAGAGTTTGAGATATGCTTGCAACATTGTATCTGTGGAGAAAGTGGTTATAGGTTGGAAAACAAATCATCGCCAACAAAACCGGGTAAACGGGTTTTGAGCTCAATCAAGATATGTTAAAAGTGGGGTTTCTATTTCAAATAAAATTTGGTAATTTATTTTATGTTCTTATCGCAACTAATTAAAGTGTTGCTTTTTTTATTTTAGGTTCTTGAAGTCGGCTTTAATTGTTTGTACGATTTATCCGTAACTCATCTGATGGATTCCCAGGTGAGCCTTCTGGATATTTCCGGTAATCCAAATCTCTTTGTCGATGCCGCCGAATTGGAAGGTTTGAAGTAAGTCTGTTATTATTTCATATTTCCAAGTTTGCACTTCTTTTAACTTCTTCTTGTTTATCGTTAGTCCTGGGTACGATGATAAACTACATCCGGCAGCAAGGCTGCTGATCGGAAGATTAGAGCTTTTGAGGAACGTAAAATCATCTCTTAATTGCTGTTGTTTCAAGGTCCACCCTGACCCGGGTTGGTAGCCCCTGTTCGCTTCTCAGCTATTAGCAAATGGTGAACCCTCAAATATAAACAAAACACTATGAAAATGTAAAAATACATTTTATAGTAAAAATACAAGTAATATATTTTTATATAAAAAAATTACCAACAATATATTTTATAGTAAAATGACTAACAATATATTTTATCTGTAGTTCAAGCCATAAAATTATGTTCAAAATATTTAGGTTACGGCATTAAATAACCCATAGAGATTGATATACCGCAAAGCAAAATCAAGTCAAGCAACCAACCAACATGAAAGAATTCCATATAATATCCTACAATTTCTTAAAAAAATCAAACTGTATTCTAAAATATAATTTCAACATAAAATACACCTATCAATGCCTCTAGTAATCATGTCCACACAAACATCAATATGTACAAAAGCAGAGTATCATCTACCATGGATTCAATTGTGAAAGCAGAATAACATATATCATATTTTTATTACTTCAAAGCTCCCAAGTAAATTAAATTTCGGCATTAAATGACCCATAAGGGGTTGATATGCCGTTAAACAAATAAGTCAACCAATTCCTTAACATAGAGAATCGTGACTCTTTACAGCTTCCTTTTATTGCCCCAAATAACTTTGACCCTGTAATATTTTTTGTTCTACCATCCATTCACAAAAACACGATAAGTAGGTGATTATGGCCCTCCGCAATTTCCTCTTTTTTGTTACTCTAAGTAACTTTTGATCTGTAAGCATCCGTTTTTGTTCCTGCTTTTAAAATCTATTCACACAAATTCGTCTGTAGGTGATCATGACCCTCCACAATTTCCTCTTTTTTGTTGCTCTAAATTTTGACATTTAACTGTCCCTTTTTGTTCCTGTTCTACCATCCATTCTAGCAAACTCGTTAGTAGATGATCATGGCCCTCCACAACTTCCTGTCTTTTGTTGCTTTAAGTAACTTTTGACCCTTGACGTCTCTTTTTGTCCCTGCTTTACCAACCATTCGCCTAAACTTGTTAAGTAGGTTACACGAAATCTTCCCCTGCTTCTTTTGTCTTTAAAATGCCCCGTGTGTGTTAAATTCTCCAAACCCTCTTTCATTATTATGTTTCTTAAAAGTTTCAATTCTCATTTTCTGATTGTAATTAAATATTTATATGCTGTTCCCATTTTCTTGAAGACTTTCTCGCTGCCCACATGTTTCGTCCATAGTATTCTCCGTACAGGACTACGTCTCTTGTCTACCAAAAAACTTCTATTAACGACCGCTAGAAGGCGTTGTCAAAACAATATATAAGAAAATGGTGCAAAGGCTTCATTCTCTTGACCCATGCCTTGGAGATATGATGTGTTGTAAGCCTGCCTCTACTCTATCGCTATTTCCATGGCAAGTGTTCAAACTACATTCCTTTGTATTCTACCACTTCGTCCCCAGCCCCTCAACCTCCGGCGTCTTCCTCTTTGGGTTTAGGTGTCCACTCGGTCCGAACCGAACTTAGGGGTAACTGGCCGTACGTACCCTGAGTACCCGTAGATTATTTCGACCGGTCAACTGGTCAAGTCCTGCTCGCTGCTCACGCTGTGTTAGTTTTTAGATCCAGTAAGCGGGGTGTTGTCCATACGTTCACGGTCGACTGGGGATGTGGACACGGCTGTGAGAGTTTTAGGAAGTTTTAGAATGTGGCAAAAATAAAACAAGAAATAATATCTGCAGAAGCCAGACAACAATGGGGGAAATATTGACGTCTTTTATATAAGAAGATAACATCAGAACAGAGGTTATAGGGACAATAAAAACATTTATCGTAAATAAGAAAAGTAAAAAGAATCATTGAAAATGCATCCAGCGAATTCCCAACAGAGAGGTGTTTTTTGATAAACGCATATTGAATCGCCTGGGGTAGGTTTATGACTAATAGTCCAGTCTCATACAGACTTCTCAGAACAATATTACAGTCTTCCTTCTCTCTTGTAGCACCGCGACCCGTAATGGTTGCCTGCAGGTGCCCACGCACGTGACGGCACGCAACGACGACGACGTGCCGACCGATCGCGGTCCCTCCCGTCTTGCTCGACCGTCTGCTCTTCTTCAGCATAACTATGCGTTTATATAGACAAATCTGGTCGGTCATGAATCGACCCTTGGCCCGGCACGTGATTATCATGAGTGCCAAAAACTATCCCTTGACATGTAAACCTATTCTTCAATTATTTACCTTATCTCAATCACGAGTTCTTCTTGCTTCACCAAAATTATACTTTGGGATGTCTAAACATTGATTCAACCTTTTAATCAAAACAAATACTGTTAAACAAAACCAAGTATCTCGCCCATCCCCATTGTTTACTAGTGACCCAGGTTTAAAACATCGCCTCCTGCCCTGAGATCGTGTTTCTCATCGGTAAACATACATCTTAACCCAAATTGTACTTTGATATATAAACACCATTTCCACTTCCGGTCAATAAAAGTTATATTTGCGTGTGTGCATTCATGTGAGTGTGTGAGTGTATAACTCTCTCTGTTACAGTATCACCAGTTCTAAACTTCATGTCTAAGTCCCGCCATGCCACGCACATTGTAGCAAACCACCTTCATTTCGTTCGTATTCTATTGGTGAGATGCAAGTCCGACTCGAGAAGCTTTTTCTCACGAACTGCTAATTTGTGGAACCAAACTGCCACCAATATGTTTTCCTGGGCACTACACTCTTAGATCAAGTCTAAGGTTAACCGATACCTTCTCCACATATCTCCATTAACTGGGCCTTTATCTCTGTAACCCTCTACCTCCAGTGGCTCTTAGGCTTTGTACAGGGTGAACATCATTCTAAAAATTTCATGTTGACCCAATGTTGTGGAGTATTTTCACAGTGGAAGCTTGTATTTCTAATAAGTCGTCCTAAATTAGGTCCGACGTACAAAACGTTAGGAACTTGGAAAATAATAGTCAATGACGCAGCAAATCTAGTTGTGATGGTTGGTACTTCAAATGTCCGAATCTCGACTGACGCGCTCAACACCGTTCTGCAGACTTGCCACTGCTACTCCTGCTTATTATCTATGGGAGAGTCCATTACCAAAGAATAGGTACTATGGCACAACACCCAAAGAATAATAGCCTAATAGTATAGACATTATATTAATATGTTGGTAAAGAAAAGTTTTCCTTTTGTCTCTTTATTGAGATTACAGATATATTTTATTTATACCTGAAACTTTACAAACGCACACATATATATATACACATATGTTTGTGTATGTGTGAAGGGGGAATGTCGGATGTTTATATTTACATTCTGTTGGATTTAATCCATATTTTTAATTAAAAAATTCCAACATCATTTAATTTACCAATATGCAAAATAAACAGGAAGATATATCAAATTTATAAGGGTTTTCTTACTTATTCTTTATTAATAATAATATATATGTGTGTCTGTGTGTGTGAAAAATTTGTGTATGTATATATATATATATATATATATATATATATATATATATGCAATTTTTATATATATTATTTATATATTATATATGCGCGGTATTTATAGGAAAGCGCTCAATATCAGTGATAGAGCTAACATATTTAGCTTGTGGAATCTTCCAAATTAGCCTTCCACCCCTTTCGGAGAGATGTATTCTTCCCTAAAAAAGCCTTAACCAATCACCACTTCGTTTCAGTAAATTCAATTTTCTATTGGTTAAGAAACACTAAACTGTAGCAAAGTCGAAACAGATTCTTTTTCCCGCCGAAGCTCCCTGGAGCCGATTTTTAGACACCACAGTCTATATAAACAGCTGCATGTCTCAATTCAAGTCAGTCAGTCATCGAGTTTGAGTCAGTCGTTCACTTTTGAACAGACTGTTCGGTTCAACTCTCTTCCTACGGGCGGGAGGAACCCGAAGGAGGCTACGCCGAAGGGCGGAGTCTCCTTTGGGGAGGTTAAACCGGCCCTGAAGCCGTTTATACGGGTTCAAATGGGCTATTTTTTGGCCGAGCCTAATGGCTCGGGAATGCCCACGTTAAAAAGGCCTTGTGCCACATGACACCCTCGTGGGGGGGGGGTGACTGAATATCGTCAGTCATCGAGTTTCGTGAGATGCTACCAAACTCCACGCGTGTCAATTCACTGACTCAACATTACTTCAAAATTCTCAACAAACTCAACACAGCACTCAATCGACCATTGTCCGCGTGGTAATCAAATTACAATTGACTTAAAAAGTGAACGTTTTCACTACACAAACAGTAATTGTACAATTCATCAATTTAGCCAAACAGTTAAAGGCAAACAACTCTTCACAACTTAAATTCTAACAAATAACACACGCATACACACTAATATTTGAACGAATACATTTGAGTTTTTTTTTTTCAGAAACCAAATTATTTTAATTTCACTAACAAATCAAAATCATTAACTTTTATTGACCAAATTTCTGAATGAACATTCTTCATAACCTTTTCTGAATTGCCACAATCAACAAACATTCTGTTATCCTTGCATGTATATCTATTGTATATATAAAAATCTTTTTATTGTTGGATCTCTAACCACTGTGTTTTTAGTAATTTCTTGCAATGCAAATTGTCCTTATATTCGTTATTTGATCTTCGTGTTGTGGGATAATGAATAATAAGCACGCATAATCTTTGCCTTTACATAAATTTACCTTCTGATACATTTTCACTCAGCTACAACCCACAAAAAGCTGGATGGATGTGGGTTTGTGACCTTGAGTTTCAAGCCCTCTGCGATTTGGTAAAATAAAAATTATTTGAAAGAAAATTTTAGAATTTTTTTTTGAACAATTTTCTACGGCTATCAAGAAATTAATTCGTGGACTTGAAATGATTAAAAGTAAGATAAATAGACATAACGCGTCTAAATTATTTAACCAAACCTGCGTGAATGAAAATATGCAACCAATATATATATATGTGCATGTCGTGTTATTTTGAAGCGAAAATTGATGTTTTTTCAGTGGTTTGCTGATAAGGGGGTATTTAAGGCAATCAGGCTTTGTGGTAAAGTGCTCAATATCGATGACAGAGTTTTAATTGAATTAATATGAATATATTTTTCATTTAACTCATGTTAAGCAGATTAACTCTGTTCCGACGTGTGCTTATACCTATATAGCCACGAAACTCCGAAGTAAACATGAGTTAAGTGAAAAACCTTTTTCATATTAATTCTGATATACAGGTGTCCATAAAGTTCATGTGCACTTTAAGTTTATAAATTGTTTAAAGTGCACACGAACTTTATGGATTTTCTATATATATATATATATATATATATATATATATTCAGTTGTTTAATACTGTTTATTATAAACAGAGCATTTACTTAAATATTTGTATCTATAAAAAGAATGTATAAACATAAAAATGTCATAATATATAACATCAGGAAATCTTGTTTACAAATCGACCATGGTGAGATTCGAACCCGAGTCTCATGGTCAGAATGTGAACGTTCTAACCACTCGGCCACATGCCCATGATCACCTGACCATATTGGTGTCCTAAATGATAGACGATATATTTATTTTCTTCATGTTTAAACAAAATTCTGTAACATTTATTTCCAATAAGCACTCCATTTGCCCTAAATGACCGGACAGCCATTTCGCTATCATAATTATTAATGTTATTGTTTTTCAGGCACAAGAAACGAGTTTGTATGATTGATATGAGAGGTCAGAACAGGTCACTGTCTCAACAAGACACGCAAGATAAACAGATGCCGTGGCAAAGTGGCTTTTCGCAGACGTCAGGCATGAGAAACAAGTAAGATTCTATATTTGAATACAATCTTGAACAGATACACACGCATGCGTACAAGCACTCTTTCACCCAGTATTGATGATGCTATAAGAACAGAGTCTATACAAGGCCTGTACAAAATATGGCCCGCGAGCTGCATGCTAAAAAATGCAGTGTGTCCCGCAAGTGGCTTTCAAAATAATAAATTTGTAAACAGTATATATAGTAATAGTCTATAGGCCTGCGCATTAGAGAAAACTTAATAAAAAAAAATACAGAGAGCATATTTTCTGTATTAAGATTTCTTCAATGTGTACGCCGATAGACGCAATACATCCTGTTTAAAATAAAAACAAAATGGGCGTCTATTTCAAATGCATTATTCTCTATAACAAGTAGTAAGTTGAAGTAATAGAACTGTTGGATTAAAAAATAAATCTATTAATTCTTTAGAAATTACTTTGTTTACGTTTCGCATACGAAACAGAGATGAACTTTCGAGAAAAGTCCTGGGTATGACGTTAAAATTAATAATTCGATATACGTTTTAAATGATGTGTAAATCTTATATTTCTCGGTAAATTAATCAAATTTTATTTTAAGTTGATATCCACTCAGTAGTGATATCTTATTAATAATTTTCAGTAAAAAGACATTTTTTATTTGGTCTGAAATTAATAAATTGATAGAATATGTTCTAATAAGGCGTCTCATTTAATTTGAATCCAACTTTTGCATATTACCAAATCTTAATTTTTTCCAAAAGACAACTAATCACTATAAAAACACGGAGTTTTACATCAGATGCAGGAGTCTACCTACCTACATTCAACAATATATATATATATATATATATATATATATATAGAGAGAGAGAGAGCGAGAGAGAGAGAGAGAGGGAGATATGAACAGACTGAAATAGATAGATAGATAGATAGATAGATAGATAGATAGATAGGTATTCATTTTCCCGATCGATTGATATTGTAGTGAACAAAACAAGATCTAGATTTAACATTCAAATGCTAAGCACTGACTCATTGATTTTGTTAGAAATTAAAAAGACTCGAATTTACAAACTTTGCTTAACACACACGCAAAAGCGAATCCAAAACAAACCTCGTGAAATTTCACGCTTGATGCGAAATGTTTTTCGACCAATAGAAAACTAGGAAACATTTAAAAACAAAATTCAAATAATCTTCAATTCTCAGAAACAAATTCTTTTACGGACCTTTTCGCGAGCCGAGGCGAAGTTTGTTCGTCGTCCAATGGAAAAGCCCGAAACATATCCGGGAGTGAATTCCCAAATGACCTTTTCAAGCCACACAAACAAAATAAAAGACGGGCAAGTTCGCCTGTCGCCAGAGAGAAAGAAACGAGCTTATTAACACGTCCCTTGACAAACGTCAAGTGATCGTTATTATCATCTCAACCTGTCTCCCTCGCCTCTTTTATACTTGATAAACGAACGGAACATTTTAAGACTGCGCGATTACTTCAAAGACATTCCTACCCTTCGATAACACTAATACATACATACATACACACGTACGTTCCTGCCTACGTACACATAAACTCATTCTTGCAAGGACTACTACGAACATTTTGACAGCCTTGTATCAACCAAAATACAAGAATTTTATTTGTAAAGACCTTAATTGATTTATATGTATATAGATTTGTTGTTTCACTATACAATTTAATTTTCTTGCTTTTTCTTATGGTGGGCTATCTAACTAACAAAACCAAATCCAACTAATCTGTTTCAACGCTTATACACTTCACTATAACTGATAACCCACTACAATATGAACACAGACACATATTTCAATAGATACATAAAAAGATAATGACAGAAATAGATAGATCTGAACAGACCGAGATAGATAGATAGATAGATAGATAGATAGATAGATAGATAGATAGATAGATAGATAGATTTATTGATATTATCCCTTTTTATTTTCAGGCTGTGTGTTGCCATCTTGAATAAAACAAAGTTCAACCGAACTGGCGAGGACGCCCTTTTCGGAATTTTTGACGGCGGGAAAAGCGACGAAGTGGCTTTGTTGTTGGCTGACATTATGGAAGAAACTGTTTTAGAAGAATTAAATTGTCCCCTTACCCCATCGGGAGGAACGAGCTACATGAAATACACAATGCTGAGTGCACACAGGTAACATTTTGTTGTTTGGATTAAAAAACGACCGAATGGTAAATTCATAAAATAATCTGGAAAATTTCTATTTTCATGTATTTCGCGGATGAACCGCCATTATCAGAAATTGGATTTTATCTAACGAGAACGAAATCTACGTTGACGAGAAAAAACGTGATTTGCATTAAACGGCTGAATATTTGATTTTTACTTTAATTATATCGTTTTAGAAATCCAATTTTACCTAATTCCAACCGAGTTTTTTAGAAACATTTTACCCTGGACATTGCATTTAATTTTTTGAAGATTCTAGAGTTGGTCCCAATATGAGAAGAATAATATTTATTTCAATTAAAACAGAAAATATGGCAGAAGGCTAAAAAGGAGAGATGTGAATGGATGGTTATCAATCTGTCTTATCTTAAACTTAGCTAACAACAATCACTGACCTAAACAAACTATACTATATTCCTTGCACTAAAACACCACATTCTTACTTACTACTCGGACTGAGGAATCAGAGAGCCGAGTTCGAATTCCAGTTGAATCCATTACATTCACTTACATGTTTGGGAAAGGTATGAATCCTATTCTTCTCCCACCCCACAAGCTATGGGTAAATAGCAGAAGAGACCGGGTTCTATAGCCTTGGATGGCAACTGGTCTACCGCAGAAAGAAATGGCAACCTACTGTAAGAAAAAATCTGCCTCGTCAGTCATGTGTCGAAAGATACATGATCGCCTAAACATGTATCTCGCATGGCATATAACTGACTGAAATTCACTTCCGTGCTAATACCCTGGGGAAAGGTATGAATTCTCTTCTTCTCCTCATAGCTATGGGTAAATAGTAGAACAGACGGAATTCTATAGCCTTGGATGGCAACTGGTTTACCACAGAAAGAAATGGCAACCTACTGCAAGAAAAAAATCTCCCTCATCAGTCATGGGTCGAAAGATACATGATCGCCTAAGCGTGTATCATTCAGGGCATATAACTGACTGAAATTCACTTACGTGCTAATACCCTGGGGAAAGGTATGAATTCTCTTCTCTCCCTAGCTATGGGTAAATTGTAGGACAGACCGGGTTCTATAGCCTTGGATGATAAATGGTTTACCGCAGAAAGAAATGGCAACCTACTGCGGGAAAAAATCTGCCTCGTCAGTCATGGGTCGAACGATACATGATCGCCTAAGCGTGTATCACGCATGACACATAACTGATTCTTGCAACAACCTCCATAATACCGCAAAGCCTCTATGAAGTCCCAACTAGTTCTCATATGTACAATTTGTCTGTGGGGCTGAAAAATAAAATAACAATTTAGTATTCAACTTCTACCTAATTATATTATTTCTTTGACTCAATGAATTCTATTGGTTGTAAAATACTTCAATTCATTTTTCATGTAATATTTCTCTTCAAATTTTGTGCAAACTAAACGCCAAGTGGATCACAGAAGCTTCGACTAAAATTCCGACTTCTGATTGGCTAATATATATGAAAGATGTTACAACGCTTACGCAGTTGTGTTCAATTTACCGCCAAATTTTGGTCATGTGTTCTCGAGCCTATCACGTGATTCACATTAATTATAAATACTTGGGCACATCTTCATCGTTCCGCTTTCTTGACCAACAGCAATGTAGCTTTTTGGTGAGATCGCATTTGTCCCTTAGGGGAAAATGCTATGAAACGTCATCACACACACGCTCGTTTATTTTATAATTGAGTTTAATAAAACACACAAATTTACGTACGAACATTTACGAACATTCACTCCTTCAACCACAAGGACAGAAACACTTAACATTGTGAGTTATAAACTGTTTAATTCTCTTACAAGTAACAATACATCTTAGTAAAATTCTCCAGCCTGACACACCTTTTAATACACTTCACAGTTTATCAATAAGAAGATTTTCGTCACTCAAAATTCCAAGGACAAGTAAATTTCAGCATTTCAAACACAACTGAATTACTGTTTTGTATGCTTGTTGTTATGCATATATAAATTCCATTTACTTATGCCACTATTGTTGAATGTTTTTTCTTATTGTTTCATATTTTGTGGCATTTTACGTTAATATAAATTAGGACTCAGCGGCCAACAACAACATTTAAAAATGAAAACCCGAATGAATATTTACAATATTATTAATACAATATATACAAGAAACTAAACAAAATGGTGTTAGTAATAAAAAAAAAAAACAATCCATCCTTAATTGTGGCAGAAATATCAGTTAACTGGACGAAATTGATGCAGGACTTGGATAAATTAAAACCAATTAATCGATCAACAACACATGCAAATACACAATCGAAAAACGGAAAATGCGCAATAAGTCTATTTTTAAATATTTTCATGGCAATTGTTCTGATGAACTTTCCTTTTTGGTACATCGACCACATGAATTTAAGCCTACTACTAGATTGGCACTTAGGTCTCATCGTTTTACGGTTTAAATAGCTAGATGTAACCATATGTTGTATTCTAATTGTTTATTTTCTCGCACTTCTCACATATTGAATTCTTTTCCAGTTTCCTGCCACCAAGATTTTTTTTACAGTTAGGTTCACTCTGTACGAAGCCCGAGGGCCACTCGATGTAGAGGGTCACAGAGTAAGAGGCCCAGTTTATACTGTTATGTAGGGAAGATAACGGTTAACGCTAGACTTGAACAGATTAAGATTTTAGTGATCAGGGGAACATCCTCTTGGGAATTGGTTCCACAAAACAGTAGTTCATTCTTTTCTTTTTATTGTTGCTTTTAGCCAATTCATTTTCATATTTGATTATCACTGTTTATTAGATCACAGAACTTTAATCCCTGCCTTAAGAATCATCAGTTATCTTCGACATAGAATGAATTTAAATAAGATTCTGCGTGTTTTTCATCCATTTTGATTTTTGTACAATTCATTTTCATATTTGATTGTCACTGTTTATTTATTTCATTGTTGTCTTGAAATTTATTCTTGTGAAATGACTAAAAAAAATTCAATTTTCATTTCAATTCCATTTTTTTCTTCCAGGAAACTAAAATCTACTGGACAGAAAATCGGGGCTTCTGCAGCGGTTTGTCACTTGAGAAAACTGCCGGACGGAAGGGACGGTTCCACGAAATACTGGATAACGGTGTCCAATGTTGGAATGGTCCAGGTGGTTTTGTCTCGCAATGGACAGGCTATACCACTTACACATTGTTTCTCTGTGAACACAGATCGTTCAGAGTGTATTCGCATCCAAAAATCCCATGGCATCATAACAGAGGTGAGATTTTGCTTAAATTTGAACTTTCAAATTTCAAATATGAAACTCATAACACGCTAGAGTTTTGTTAGAAACACCAGATTTAATATATATAATTTCGTCATTATTGCAAATATCTAAACCTCTTATAATACGTAATATTCAAAATTTTTGCTTGGAGGCAAAAATAGCTATCATTGCCTTCCCAGACCAAAATAAATTATTAAATAAACGATCCGAATTCATCTCAAAATGCAGACATGAAATCAAATTTTTACTACGTTACTTAAAAATCGAAAACTGAAAAATAAAATAAATAAATAAACAAAATGACAATAAAATAAGTAAAATAAATTAACCCAAACAAATTACCAAATCACACCCGTTAGAATAGACGAATTGAATAAATAAATAAATAAAAAATCAATGAACCCAAATAAATAAAGTAAATAATAAACAAATTAACAAACCATTATGACCAAAATATTAGTTAGACTATAAAAATAAAACCAAAAATCGAACGAAAAACAGCTATAACTAACAATAAAAAAATACTACGTTACTTAAAAATCGAAAACCGAAAAGAGTAAATAAAAATATACAGTATAATAAATAATAAAAGACAAGTAAAATAAATTAATCTAAATTAATCCAAATAAATAAACAAACTAACAAACCGATCCCGATAAATTAACTGTTAGAAAAAAACCTTGTACCCCTTTGTGTCTTAGTGACTTTTCCGTTTTGCATGGGGTGAAACCGATTTTTAAAAAATCATAATTTAATAACTGTAATGTTATTTTGTGGTTATCATGATGACTTGTGCCCCTAGGTTTATATATATATATATATATATATATATATATATATATATAGTTTATGCAAATTTAGGTAATCCGTATGGGTAGACCTGAGGAGGATGATATCCAGAGAGCTCAATGTAAAATTCAGAGCAGATATGTTTGAATAAAAGACAGACCACGTTAAGATTCCATGTAATAAGCTATTTCACCATAACCCCTTTAACAGGGTTCTGGATCATCAGACTTTACTTCCAAAAAGCTGAAATGAAAAATGAAAAGAAATTCACACGTTTTTTACGGACCTCATCAAGTATACGCAAAGTTAACGAAGTGAGGAAGTGAGGTGGGAGAGAGGATATGAGTGTGTCATATGTATCATTTTAGTTTCCTATTTTAACCCCAGTGTGTCGGCTGGATGTTGCTCAAATTTAACGCGTCTCGTCTCTAGATAAAGGTGGTTAAGGGGTGAAGCGATAAGAACTATATTAAAGGAAGACGTTACAACAACCCCAATAAATTACACGACAGGTTTCATTCAAATTCTTAGACGCTGTCAGTTCGCGTTACTTTAACGTGCATATTTGGGAGGTTAAGGTTTGATAAATATCTAAATTTTAAAAAACAATCTACGAAGAAATTAATTTGAAATTCGGTGGAGTTTTGGGTATATTTTCTAAATGAAGCAGTCGATTCGAAAAATCCATAGACAGAACATTGAAAAAGTAATCCAATTTATATTTAGTATTTTTTTCCACTAAAACTTTTATCTTATAGCTTGTTAGGTTGACATTTATTCGTTTGATTTTTTGTTCATTAAGTAAATTCGTGATTGTTTTTTTTTTTATTTTTGTTCATTAATCTAAACTCGTGGTTGTTTTTATGTATCCAGTTATCAACAGTTATTCCCATTTAAATAATTTTATTTTCCACATTGGGGTAGTATCTTTCAATCTCAATTAAAATACTAATCTAAAACTTTCCCTTCGTGCTATTTAAAATTCACTTCCAATTGGAGAATATTAGAGGAGAAATTTTTAAGAGATGTCACTAGCAGAAAATTAGGCCCTTCTTTTTACAATTTCTTATCTATATGTCTTAAACCCTATTTATAAATACATACCTATATCGTCTTATATGCCTATGATTTATATATATAATATAACACATACATTCACACGAAATGATATATGTATATTTCCATATTTTACATATACACCTGCAGAGAAACCGCACATCCACATGTCTCCATACCTATTAAATTTCCATATATACTTATACTTACATATATATATACACACACACGGACATATATATATATCCATATATATTATATAAACGCACATATATATATTTACACATCCATATATATATACATATATACATACATACATTTATATATATATATATATTATTTATATATATACATACACACATATTATATATATATACAATATTTCGTAGATTATTTGAAAATTTAGATATTTATCAAACCTTAACCTCCCAAATATGCAATCTTTAAAAAGTAACGCGAACTGACAGCGTCTAAGAATTTGAATGAAACCTGTCGTGTAATTTATTGGGGTTATTGTGACGTCTTTTTTTAATGTAGTTCTTATCGCTCACCCATAACCACCTGTATCTAGAGACAGAGACGCTTTTAAATTTGAGCAACATCCAGCCGACACACTGGGGTTAAAATAGGAAACTAAAATGATACATATGACACACTCATATCCTCTCTCCCACCTCACTTCCTCACTTCGTTAGATTTTGCGTATACTTGATGAGGTCCGTAAAAAACGTGTGAATTTCTTTTTCATTTTTCATTTCAGCTTTTGGAAGTAAGTTCTGATGATCCAGAACCCTGTTAAAGGGGTTATGGTGAAATAGCTTATTACATGGAATCTTAACGTGGTCTGTCTTTTATTTATATATATATATATATATATATATATATATATATATATATATATATATTATGATAGACCCAATATCATTATTTAACTAAAAAAAGGAAAGTGACTCGTTGCGCTTTCTCGGGCTCACGTCCTCAGCTGACATGAAGTGGAAAGACTATATTGAATCCATTGCTAGGTCGAATGCTAAGAAATTTGGTTCACTGTGTCGTGCATGACAATTTTTCTCTTCAGAATCTATCATACATATCTATAAGTCTGCTATTCGTCCATGCTTAGAATATTGCTGTCATATATGGTCCAGTGCCCCTGCTATTTACCTGGAACTACTTGATAAAATCCAAAGAAGTATCAGCAATATTATTGGTCCTGATCTGGCGGTTTCGGCTTCAGTATATTATTGTTTAAGGTTGCCATGTTTTTTCTACAAATGTTTTAAACAAAATGATAATTATTCGAATCATCTTTCGCTATGGTACCATGAGAATTTTTGAATTTAAGCGCAGTATTAGACTGGCTTCGTGATCTTATCATTTACAGTTCAAATATCGCTAGATGTTAACCTTAAATTCTATGCTAACAGTTTCTTTTCTCGAACTTGTAGAAGATATTTAAAATTTCCATTTTTCCAGCTATTTTTAATTTTAAAATAAATTTTTTGAAAGGCAATGTCAATCGCCATCTGCTGTCCTCCTAATTACTCCTCTTTTGTTCTCGTTCCTTAGTAATGTTTCTGTTCCTAATTCATATATTTCCAGTAAAAAAAATTTTTGTGTCTTAGTAGCTTTACTACGTTGCTTGGAGTAAAGCTGATTAAATATTACAACGACCCCACCTGTTTTAGCGCAATGAGGAAGGTGCTGCCACTCCCATAAAAAATGAGAACAAATTTAAATGCAATGTCAATCACTATCTACTATCCTCGTGATTACTCTTTTCTCTTCCCGCTCATTATAAATGTATCTGTTTTTTCTACACCCAGTAAGCCCTTGTGTCTTAGTGGCTTTACTGCTTTGCATTGGGTGGAATCGATTAAAAAATATTATGTAATTTTACTCGTCCACAAATATTTTGGTTAATCTGCAGTATAAGCACCAAAAGTTCATGGTAATGAAAATGTTGCATTATGGTGTGAAATTGCCTGATTATTTCGAAAATGACATTAAACTTTTGAGCTCTATTACCGTTTAGGAGTTATGGACTATGTTAGTTTTAAAATCTCTCTCATATTCAAAAAATGATATTTATTCCAAACTGCTATATATATATATATATATATATATATATATATATATATATATATATATATATATATATATATAATAGTAGAGCCCGGCGTTAAATTGGGATGTAACAGTAAGAGATAGATTTTTTTATCGACATAAAAATAAAAAAAAAAAAGATTATTGTTTAAGGTTGACGGACACGCATAAAAAAAATTAGTTTTATTTTTTTTTTTTTTTTACGAATTGGTCAAACCCAAACAATAACATCGTTTTCAATTGTTATGAGTCTACCGATTAAATAAATTTTATTATAAAAACAATTGTCTTGTAAATGCAATTTTTTAAAGCATTCTGAATGTAAAAAAAAAAGAAAAAGTGTGCAAGACAATAAGAAACATACCAAAAAAAAAAAGTGAAGTTTTGTTGAAATCGGTTGAAAATGTAGGAAATGATCCCATATATAAAATGAACACACACACACACACACACACACACACAACAAACAACCTGGGGAATAATTATAACTCGATATGAGTTGTCCCTTTTTCATTCTGATGACTCTTAATCGTGGATTTCAAATTGATTTTGTGCAAAAACAATTGTGTTTTTCCAATTTTGGGCGCTGTCAGAACCACCGCAAGGTAATTTTACGTAGTCCTGTGAAGTTTTGTTGAAATTGGTTGAAAAATGTAGGAAATCCGATCCAATATATAAACGCATGCACACACACACACACAACCTGGGTTTTATAATAAGTATGATTTTTTTACATACATTTTTTTTTTTTTGCGAGTTCAAAACCTTTGTTTATTAGTGTTGTGGGAAAACTGAAGACGATAAATAAAAGAAAATCCATGACTGATCGATTTCTGGTTTTTATGGCTTATCAACCTTTTGCAGGTTATTTCAAGCTAGAAAAATATATTTAAATTGGGTTAATTTGCAGTATAAGCACCAAAAGCCCATAGTAATGAAAATGTTCCATTATGGTTTGAAATTTCCTGATTATTTTGAAAATGACATTAAGCTTTTGAGCTCTGTTACCGTTTAGAAGTTATGGACAATATAAGTTCTAC